TCAGGTAATCATTTGCCACATCCTCTGATCTCTTGAGCTGAGTTTTTTGAACAAATCCTTCAGCGACCCATAGAGAAATCAACCTTTTGGTATTGTGTTCATGGTCTTCTGGAAAGGCTCCAAAATAAAGAAAACATGCCTTCAAAGTATCAGGTAAATGTTTGTAACTCAGCTCTAATGTAGCGGTGCATTGTTCCGTACTAGAAACATTCCTTGAACTTAAACCTTCCACAGCTTCTTTCCAATCATGTCGGTCCAGCCTTGAGAGAATTCCGGCAAGAATGACAACCGTAAGAGGTAGTCCTTGACACATTTCCACGACTTGCTGTCGAATTTCACATAGTTCTGGAGGAGCCAAATCTTGTCCAGGATATAACTTCCCTTTTAGCAAATCCCAGCTCTCATTAGGAGCGAGTTGACGAAGAGAATATGGTTCATGGTCGAGTTTGTCTTGCGGAGCAACACCACGGAGCCGACTTGTCAAGATAACTCTACTTCCATTTCCATCATCAGGGAATGAGGCTTCCAATCCGTTCCATGCATCAATGTCCCATAAATCGTCCAAAACAATGAGATATCTGTTTTTCAGCAAACGTCTTTTGACTTTAAGAGCCAGATCTTCTTCACCCATCTTAAAATCATCCAGATCTTCTTCACCCATCTTAAAAACATACTCAGGAAGCTTGGACTCAATACAAGTCAAAATTTGAAGCAACAGATTTCTCTTGTCATATATTTGAGAAACAGTACACCAAGCACGCTCATAAAAATGGGACTTCACTGAAGAATCATTGTACACTATTCTAGCCAAAGTTGTCTTACCGCATCCCGGCATACCCACAATGGAAACAATTTTCACTTGGAGTGATCCATTTCTGAGTTGATTGATAATCGATGCCGTCTCATCCTCGAATCCCACCACCACATCATTGACTATTGGCTTACTTCCTTCTTGTGGCATGTGATTGAATCTCTTCGTTACTTCCTTAACTTTTCCACCAAGTCTTTCGCTATCACAAATCTTCCAGGCCGCAGCTTTAATGATGTTCATTTCTTCTAAAATGGAATGAATGGACATTGAAGAAGAATCTAAGATATTTCCAGTTATTAAGGAGTCAATAAGAAACTCTATCCTATATGCCACCCCAACAATACGATTCCAAATTGCCTGGACGTCCTCGTCTTCGTTGTGCAGCTCCACAATTTTCCTCAGCAAAGAGCGTAAACAATCAAGTTCTTCCAGGACTTTTTGAATTGGATGATCGATCAAAGCAATCGAACCAGCCTCAGAACTTGTCACATCCATCATCTTTTCTAGAAGGGAATCAACAAAGCCCAGTCCATTGGTCTTAGGAAAATTGAACGATGATGATTCTGGACACTTCTCTGTGATTACTGCATCGATGAGCTTAATTATTTTCAATAACTCAGAACACACAATATCCATATCCTTGGCTTGTATGGCGTCTTTGATTGCATTCAGAGAGAGTGGGGAAATAACATCTCCTCCATAACAATTCACGACTCGAGTCGGATCTCTTACTTTCTCATCGAACTCCTTTGGCTTCTCCTTCAAAATGGTTCTCAAGGAATTTAGCCCCTCATAAAACATTTGTAGTTGACGCAAAATCACAGCACAAGAACCACGCTTTAGTTTATCCCAAAGATTACACAGGAGAGAATGGTGGAAGTCACTCAATATGTGCTCATCTGTATCTCCGTATGATTGTCTTGATAATTTCGAAGCACTCAGGGCCTGGATACAAGTCCCAAGGACTTGCGGTTCAACAGGAATAATCTTCTGCAGCAGTTCCGAAATGCTTTCCTTGATATCCTTGGGCGGTCCGAAACCCTTCTTAAACTGGCACTTATAAGAGAGGTGTGCTGCATTGACAGCCACAGCTTCAGTGTGAACTAACAAAGGTCTCAATTCTGTGTTTTCAACACCATGCAGTGTGACAAAACGGATGAAGTTTTTCAGGAATGCCAGCTTCTCTTCAAGGGCTTTAATTAGTCCAACTTCATATGCCGGCCGACTCCTTGGAAGATAATTCACTAGAGAATCCATAAATTCCATAAGGTCATCTTGTCGAACGAGCGAATTACTGGACTGCTGTGACGAGGAACCCAAGAAAAAGACATACCATTCGCAAATTTCTTGTTCGAAGGATTTAATGTCTTTTTCTAAATCATAGACCACATCCCATCGGATCTTTTTTCCCCTCTTGGGAATGGCATCTCCAATCCGAACTGCCAGAGCTTCTAGGCTTGCTTTATGATTATCTGCCTGGTTCTTTTTGTTGTCAAATGGTAATTGCACATCATGGTTGCTGTATTTTCTCGCACACAGAAGAAATGTTCTCAGATAGCTTAGCATGCGTTTCAGGTACTTCGGCGGCCCATTTGCAAAAAATTGACAATCGTTCTCCAGCGCTTGCAGATCATCCAGGATGGAAGAAATACAAGTGACACTAGTGGAGGCCATCTACTAAAAGGAAGATTAACAAGGGAACCAGAATGTATCGATCTCAATTTAAGAGATGAAACTGTTCTCAAATATGAAAGGAGATAAGAAAGATCTGCAGAACCTCAAGGCTCAAACACAAGTGCTCTCTTCTTTTCTGTACATTGATTTCTACTGTCCAGAAAGTAAAAAAAGACCCCACTGCACATGCGTTAGCCATTAGTCCAACTGTTTCGCTCTTACCATTAGAACTGTATAAACAGTGTCAGTTGGGTTATAAAGAGTAACAATAGACATGATAGACATGAAAAACTTTGATGTTTTTCATGGATAAAGAGTGTTAGTGGCGTAATGGACCAGTGGCACCTTGAATGCTAATCTGTTTCTCAATCACATCCGCCACGTCTTTTGACCACCATCCTAATCGTTTTGCTCGAAGCATCAATGCATCATCTCTGGTCCCCATCCATACTAACCGTAGTCTTCATCCAAGGACCCTTCCTCCACTCGACTCTCCTCTGATTCAAAAGGTGCTTGCAAACGCCCACAATCAAATTTTTGTTTTCAATATTTTTAACTATTTAATTGATTCTCTCCCGGTTAATTAATTTCTAATTTGTCATCATGTTTTCTTTCCTTGTGTGTTCGAGGATTTCATATATTGTCCCTATTTTTATTTATGTTTTTCTCAAGCACAGGAGGATTTTCTTTGATCCGCTTATATTCCTATTTTTTTAGATTTTTTTTTTGTGAAAGTATATGATAATGATTTGATAAATGTAAGATGAAAAAGTGATGAAAAAATGTATTCATACAAGATATGATAATGATATTTTTTTTTTGTAAAAATATATGATAATGATTTGATAAATGTAAGATAAAAAAGTGATGGAAAAATATATTCATAAAAGATGATAATTTTTTTTTTGAAAAAAGCACACATTCCAAACACAACATAAGTCTTACAATTTCTTCAAATTTTTGCTCCCCTCCTTTAGTTTTACTGTCTTAAAATTCCTGCAATATTGGTTTAGTGGGTTCTCATTAAAATAACTTTTTTTGAACTTTTTCATTTTTTAAATTTTATTCAATTATAACTTTTTAGAAATTGAAAGCTAGAAAAGTAGGGCCAATAGAGAGCTCCAAATTTACTTATAATTTTTGAGAAATTGAAACCTGCAAAAGTAGGGCCAGTTAGGGAGTGAAACTAATAATATATCAAGCATGCATTGGTTCAAGCTAAGCAATGATTAACTAGTACTTAATAATATTAAACTAGCACTTGAATAATATTTATGATTGCCAGATTATTTGAATAATATTAAAATAATACTTGAAATATTATTTGAAATAATTATTGTGGCACTTCTGATGGTATCATATATGTAAGATAAAAAAAATATTTGTTGAAAAGATAAAAAAATTAATTAAAAATTATAATTGTGATACTAGTAAAATAATATTTATTGAAAAATTTGCTTTCCAAACACAATAATTTGTATAAACTATTGCAATTCAATTTCACGTACGGTGTTTTATAACAAATAGAAGTTTTAATGCTTCGGACTCTATTGATTTTCATGTTTGTTGCCTTGCCATCAAACAACAGTTTTTCACATTGAGAGCCATAATCTTCAACCGCTTTAAGTAAAATTGGTAAGCACCACAATCTCCAATTTCACTCCTATGTTTTTGGATGAAGTTTGTCAATGCCTACGTTATCTATAATTTTGATTTTCATAATTTCAGTTTATGACCCCTTTATGATAACTAGTAGTAAGTAGCGTACCCTTATTTAAGATTAGATTCGATTACCATGGAATTAATTATTAATATTTATTCTGATAATTTTGGTGGCTGTTGATTGTAATGCTGTTCAATGGAAATCCATATGCAGTGATAATATTATTATGGGTTACTTGTAATCATATTTTGAAAAATACACGATTCAGCATTCCTGCGGCTGTCTAACCAATCGAAAAGGGCTCCCTTTTTTTCCTTGATAATTCAAAAAGGGCTCCCTTTAATCATTAAAATTTTGAAACGTTTGGGCTGTTTACAATTCGGTCAATTGCAAAAAACTTTTTGTCAGCTCAATCGTTTTGGTGTTTGTTAAACGTTCAATTTTCGCACAGCTCATGCACCGGAAAACAGAGGAATCACATATCTCAATCAAATATTATTTCACGTGGCAACCAATAATGGTCCTAAAGTTGTCGGGCACTACTAAAATAATTGCAAAGAAATGTCATGAAAGTTCTCAAATGGGTCCAGTGTCAGTCTCATCTGCCCCTTTTTTTTTTTCTAAAGCAAATTTACGTAGATTCGATTTAGATCGCCATCATCATGCGATAAGACACATATCTGAAACTAAAAATTGCGGATACAGGGCAGGAGCGGTCACCAGGGTGAGCGGTCACCAGGGCCTGGTGACCGCTCCTGAACGGTTTCCTCACAAGGCCCAACAAATGGACCATAATAAGCCATGTCAAGAAGGCTTCAATAGGGTTAGAACGACACTGTATTGAGGAGAAACGGGAAAAACAAAAAGAAAAAGAGTTGACGGACTGTTTCATGAAGTGTTGGTCCGTTACCGCCCAAATGAATCCTCCAAATGAAAAGCTAAGCCGCGCTCCCTCCAAAATAATTGCCCATATTCATTAATGCAAAATTCTACAAAACAGAGCAAGAAAGAAAAGCAAAGGCAAAATAACATTGTAGAATTGGAAATTGCCAGGTAGTATACAAAGGATAGCAAGAAGTAGTAGAAATAGAGTGGCTGCAAAGGAAAATCACGGTGAGAAGAAGCAATAAGTAGTGGCAGAAGGAGAGAGTTTAGGATTGGTACTCAAATATCAAAAGGCTTGAGAAGGTGAACGGGAATTATGGAGTACAAGGTTGGGAGATCCGGAGAAGAGATAAAGCAGAAGAAACACAGGTAAGAAAACATCAATTGTATCAGATAAATTGTGTATCGATTTGATTTGTAGTTATCTTTTGCTGTATACATTGTTGTGAACAAATGGGCTGATTATACTTGCTGCAGTTTTGGTTGAAGTAATTGTTTAATACATTGGAAAATGGATAATACACTGGAACCTTCGGTTGCACATAATAGATATTATAATTACCAACACGGGGAAAGAAAGGTACTGAAAATTTTGCATACCAAATGCTTGCAAAATTGCGTGCATGGGTTGGGGATTGTTATGGTTATTGTGCATGAAGTTAGGTTTTGTTACATAACAGTGGTTGAGTGGAGATTAAACATGATATGGGCTTCTAAGATGGTACATACTGTTGACAGAAACATACAAAGTGAAGTGAAATGGTTACAAGATATTTCATTTAAGGGTGCTGTAGGAGAGAAGATTATAATGCGCTAAGTATGAGAGAATATTATAATTTGACAGTAGCAGGTAGAAAGTATGCCAAACTGTACAGTTTGGTATACTCAATGTGGAAACAAGTTTATAAGTCTTGATAAGTATTGTGTTTGCACATCATATTGGACAAATCATTTATGCAATGAGTCACTAGTGACACCTTCAGAATGGCGTGTAAAATTGCCCCAACAAATGATGAAATTGCAAGAATGTGATTGTCACTCCACTGGAATTGTGTACTAGCACAGTGCTTAGATAGACAAGTTTATTGCATGGAACTAAATAAGTAGGAGAGTAGGTTATAATTTGACAATGTGTGGCAGAAGAAATAACAAATTGTGAAGTTTGACATACTCAGTGTGGGAAAACGGTTATGAATCTTGTTAGTTATTGTGGGTGCACATCATGTTGGATAATTGTTACACACAGTGATTCAGTAATAACAGTAGTAAAAGTGTTGCGTAAAATTGGCTGAACATACATTGAAATTGTTCCACGGATTTGTTACTTCATTCGTATTGTTGAATACCGTGATAAATAAAGGAGAAATTGATTGCATCGATCATGACAGGTAGGAGAATAGATTATGATATGACTAAATTAGGCATAATTAACAAGAAACTTTGCACGGTGGCAAACAAATTGTGAAAAGAAGATTACTAATACAGTAATTGTTGTGGTTGGACATCATGTTTGATAGTTGCCAATGAAAATTCAATCTTCGTTGTGACCATTTTATTTATTGCCATAGAACTTACCGTTATAGAACCTATGCCAGTAGTACAAATGTTAAATTAAGAACTGTCACTAAGATGTAGTTTTACAGTATATACATGTATTGTTTTCATTCTTGAGAGCATGTGGCTTATTTATGGATTGGTAATGTCGTGATGTAACTGCAGGCTGAGCTAAACGAGCTGTATAACATTGCTGTTAATAACCAATGAAGGATATTAAAGATTACAGAAATGCTATGTTCTCATCCGAGAGCAAAAGCTTCCACTTCTGGACCTGAAGCATTGGACAAAGGAAAAAAATCTATACAGGAGGACTATACAATGCACACGAGTCCTGATACCGAAGAAGAGCTAGAATTTCAATCTGCTGAAAAAGGAGGCAACGATGAAGATGATGATGCTGATGAAATTGATGCGGAAGGGTCTGAAGAAGATAAGCATAATGCAGCGCAGTATGAAGAAAACGATGCAATTACGAGGACAAATATTGAAGTCAGAGAACTCCCAGAGCTAAATGAAGATGTAATGGACATGGAGAATCCAATTTATACCTCATCAGTCGTGCCTAATAACATCAGTCAGGGATTGCAACAAAGGACCACTATGACAACAACTGAGCAAGGAAGCAACAGTGTGTTTGAAGAGTGTTACAAAATAGTTATTGAAAAGTTACAATATGTTTGAAGAGTATTACAAAATAGTTATTGTAGTGTTACAGTGTTTAAAAATTAATACAGAACTGTTATTGTTACTGTTAGTTACAGTGTATTTGAAGAATGTTACAAAATAGTTATTTGTAAGTTACAGTGTATTTGAAAACTGTTACAAAATAGTTAATGGAATGTTAAAGTGTGTTTGAAAATTAATACAGTGGTGTTTGAAGACTGTTAATAACAGTGTGTTTGAAAACTGTTACAAATTGGTTTACAATTTGTTACACAACAATAGATATGAAATCATATGAAATACATGTTCTTCGCTTTTTAGGAGGCCTTGACATTGAGATAAAGCACAAGTCTACACGTGCAACAAAGAAGAGCACCGTTCTGCAGTCAGCCGAGTACATTCTACCAGCACATGTGATAGTAAGCCTGTATGATAAAAATATAACTGCATTCGAGATTGTAACATCGGAGCCTTGTAACATAATCACCTTGCTACTTCCAAATATTAAGTTTATTGAGCTTAACAAGATTGTATGGTCCATGCGCTGCATGTGAGTAAACAGATTCCATTCCCGTGATATACTAGTTGGTCTCATATATGTTGGGGTCTGATTTTTTACCATATTAGAGGGTATTGCGGACTATAAAAGGACCCCCTTGCAGGTGTATATCCCTTACACAGACAAGACTCCAGTTTGTTCGTCCCTTTTTTATTTTCGCCCGTATTATTATTCAATTTCACACTTCCAATTTCTCTTCATATTAAAGTGGCAATGGATCTGTGTACTCGATTCATTTTTTGTTATCTTCAACCTCCCTACAACAGGGATTACAGTCTCATCAATACAGTGTTCAGTTTTAAACCAAGTCTTGGGAGCCAATTAAACGCATCCAGATTTGCTTGATGTTCGGGAAAATCTTGCTATTTTAATGAGATGTTCGAGAAGGCCTCGCTACATGCAATGTTGTAGGGTTCAAAATGATCATCTCTATATTCTCATTAGACACTTAATAAAGTGTATAAGAAATTTAATGTGTCGAGAGGAGAAATTATTGTTTGTGCCAAGGGCAATTGCACAAGTAAGAGAAGAGGAAATGTTCATCGGACGTTAACTAACTGTAGTATCACTAGTTGTAACATCGGGGAATATTATTAGTTGTAAAATCACTAGTTTTAATTAGAGAAGACGAAAAGCTGACGATTGCCAATTCATTAGTTGTAATGAATTGTAACATACACCTAACTCGTTGTAACTCAATCTGTACACCTCGTTATGACTATTTGTTGCATTTTAAATATTAGTTACCCCATTTTCAAATTAGTTGTCCCAACGAAATATCATGTTTTTCTGCGAAACTGTTACTTGGCATGTGGTCGTGTGGAACCAATCCGAGACGCCAATTGTAACTTCATTTCCGTGCTAAAGGAGTAATACCTATTGAAGTGTCTGTAATACTATCTGTAATACTCATCATTAACACAATTATAAGCCACATGTCTAAGTTTTAACATAGACAAACACGACAAGGTGCCTGTACAAGCACATCAATAAGTTGTAACAGTTTATTAATTTCTTGTAACGTACATATGCGGCATCCCCTGGTAGGGACGACATGGCTGCATTTAGTAAATGTTCGTCCACGAACACCACAAATCTGGTGCTATACACCTTCATGTCTGAAAAATCTGGTGCTAGACACCTAATGTCTGAAAAATCTGGTGCTAGACACTGCAAATCTGGTGCTAGACACCTAATGTTTGAAGTAATTTTAGAATTACAATCAACAAGCATAATTCATTGAGATATTGTACATTAAAACAAGCTTACAATACGGAACTGATCGAAATTGAGCAATATCTTTTCTGGACAAGTACAAACATCAGTAAATGAGGTGAACTTGGGGACGGAGAGCAACGAATTCAATTGTTTGGAACAACCAATTGTTTTGTATTCATAAAAATTGTAGGTACACATCATTCATGAACCTGCAACTGAGGGGAGTTGATGTCAATAGTTAGTCGCAATCCCAAGGTGTTATTTCTTTCCTGAATTACATAACGATGACAAATCAGTCAATACAGTTAATAATACATACGGTTAATGATATACGCTGTCAAAGTATCCAATTAACAAGACACCATATATATATGGGGTAATGATAAGAGCTTGTCACCTGGAGTGATGGTGAAAATACATGATATGCATCCTTATTATAGTGTGTTGAAATTGTTGCACGCTCCGCCTACGTTGTACAATATAATTATTCAATTGTCAACAACTCATTAGCAATGCCTATATTGCTCAGTTCCAAAGCTAAATTGGATTAGACACTATAAAAGAAATGATATTTCAAACTATTAAGATATCTCTGACGGAGTTATACTTGAAAAATATAGAAAATTTGGGATGCATCCATTCTGTAGGGACACTTCCATGAGACCCCTGATTAGCCAATCGGTGGGCTTTCGGATAATACAAAACAATATGTCATAAAGCATTATATGTTAACTACAAAATATGCATGTTTCGACAGCGTTTGGGTGCCCACCATTACAATTAAAGAAAAAGTAGCTCTACGATACGAAAAAAGGACCTTATTTTATCTACTAAATGTATGCATACCGTTGGACTTTCCTTGATTTCGGGAGTAACAGTATTTGGAGGGTCATTCACTGACTAGTTCATTGAATGCGTCTACGAGTTTTGTATGGGCCAAATAATTATATAAAACAGACAAAAAGGTATATCAGGAGGGATGTTAGCCGTAACAAAATCATCACACAATGAAACATCATCATAACTAATTGTGCTGTAAGAAACATCCAAATAAAAGTTAAAGCCATGCTCATTTTATACTAACCGAAATTGAGTCAGTTGATGAACGGTATCCCATAAACATGTGTTCATCAAATGAAACCGATGTCGGCTCCGATTCTGAGACCTATGTTATTGACACGACAATAATATTATTTTATAGTGAATGGTACTTATGGATTGTAGATAAGGAATTACGATAACATTGTTGTAGCATAAATATTTACCATCATAGTTATTGGATCCTTACCGTAGTCTGTGTAGTTCTTGACAATCTAGATTTTCTTTTTAATCTGTCAAATTTATCGACCCAACTTCGCATCACTTTACTTCTCTTCCCACTGGTACGTTTTATAAATCCTCTTGCGATTACTGCCTCTGCCATTTCATTTACAAATTGAATCTTATCACGTTCCTCCACATTCAGATCATCTTCGTCGGCGCTCGTGTCCTCTTTGGCATCACATCACCTTCATACTTGCGCTTCACACCTTCCTTGCAGCAACTATATCTTCTAGACGTGGTCACGCCATTTTTGTCTTTATTCAGATAGTCTTTGCGTATACTAAAACCCATTTTAAAGGCATATTTGTTGTAAAACTTGTACGCATCCTCTTCACTGTTAAACTTCATTCCTAACTCAGGGATCCTATTTTCTGTCAATTTGCTGCAATTCATTATTTCTGCTCCTACCAATTATGCATCAAACACCATAATTTGTAACACTCATGAATTGTATGTACATAAACGACAAGATAAATGTATATTACCATTCATAATGTGTTATGAATCACACATTACTCGTATACCAAATTCTATTATTACGCTTATCAATACGATTAATGAATCACATCACCTTACTTTTATTCTAAGACAATGGCATTATCTATGTACTAATAGAACTCCATGTACACTAAGTTATATGGATTGTAATGTGTTGGTCACACGATATAAGTCTATTTTAAATGTATGTACATCCACTCTACTGATTATATTTAGGTTCTAGGTTCTTTAGCTCACTGGATCTTATGTCATTCGTTAATGACAAGCGCCTAAGGCAATTGCGCATTTTCTACTATTTCTACATTTTGAGGGCCAAACAAACATTTTCTACTCATTGTAATATATTTCTTACATCATGTAATTAACTTACAACACCAAGTACACCCTTTTATTATTCACATATATGTCTTTTTCTCTCCTTCACCTCAATGAACTCTACGCCTCCATTTTATACACACTGCATGGTCAGGAGAGGGGCAAACTAAGATTGCATGATGAGCATAGACCAACTACATATTACTCATTTAACACACTGTATTCAATAACATTACCTTGGTCTTCACCATACGCTTTATGTTTCACCGAATTCGGAGAGCGCAATTGCTTCTGCTATTAAGTTACACGACAAAATCTGGCTTCGTGAGATGATTAATTTCCTCTGTTTGCTTCTACCTTGCCGCCAGCCTTGCATGCATTCAAAATGGATATAACACTCTCATACCTAGCTTCAAAATGCATACAACACTCTCACTGCATTGTTTGCTTTCTTGCTTATGCACTCAACACCATATCCCAGCTCTCTCCACCCACTTTTCTGTCAATTGCTACCTTCAGCAGGACACCTCCTCTCTTCACTCAGTTTTGTTTTGTGCGGCTCTCCACTTTTTTGTTTGCTTTCTTCCTTATTCACTCAACACCATACCCCAGCTCTCTCCACCCACTTTTCTGTTAATTGCTACCTTCAGCAGGATACCTCCTCTCTTCTCTCAGTTTTGTTTTGTGCGGCTGATTCAAATTTTCAACTTGATTTTCAAAATTGAAACTCTTCCGTTTGGTCCGTCATGTTCCTGTTTTGGCTAAACATTTTTTTTTTGGAACGCCGTCTTTTTTGGGGCCTGTTGAAGGCTTCCTGACGTGGAATATTTCTCGCCTCACATTTGGGTCTTGTGAGGAGACCGTTCAAGAGCGGTCAGTCTGATGACCGCTCCTACCCCTAATCCAAAAATTGCTGGTAGAGTTTCTCACGTATTGTCCAACTCCTGTCATTAATTGACTGGACGTGAATTTTTCATGGGTCTCTCTTAAATTACTTTCAGAATCGTTTAGTCTGAGTGTATCTAATCTAATCGAGTGAGTTTACCCGTCGTTCTGAGAGTGTGTCCAACAACATAGTTCTCATCAACAGCGGCATTAGCTTCCTCTTGGTCGTCTTTTCAGCTCGCTAAAGAAACAAATTAATATGATAGGCTTCCTCCGAGGACAAGGAGTTATTTTGGCAAAAACATCTATATGTTGCTCAAGGGGAAAGTATTCTTA